AAGTAAATCTGATATAGTTCTTGTGTTTTCTGTGTGTAAAATTATGTCTCAGAGAGGAGAGGAGCTGTTCGTTGTGTTTATAAGGAGAAGAGATAAAGCTGAAGCATGAACTGGAATGATGAGTTTAATTAAGTGTGAGGATGTGTTAATCTGGCCCACAAAAACATATACATTTACACATTTTTCACATTGTGATGGAGCCATTCTGTGTGGGTGTGTGCATCGTGTGGTGTTTATAGGTGGCGGGTAATCATCATGCTGGAGGTGTAAAATAAATCATCCCTGCAGTTCAATTAAATCAATTTGGAATTAGTCTCATTCGTATGGTTTTTAGTTAGTTATATTTAACTATGCCGGAGGGATGTCACCCACAGTTAACAGGAAGATGGTGACTCGGAAGATTGATGTTTATTTGTAGATTAGTAGAGGGACTGTTTCAGTTTCCGAGCTGATCAGTGAAGGCAAGAATGAGTGGCTGTCTCTGACATACACGTTAAGAGCTCCTCTCCTGCCTGCATGCGCGAGGTGTATATCAGTGCTCTACTTTAAAGAGTCCTCTCCTGCTGATGTTCAGTGATATATCAGGTATGTAGCTGGTCTCCTTACTTTAAGAGTGTCCTCTCCTTGCTGATGCTCCGTGCAGGCCGCCCCTCCTATACGCAGAACACACGCAAGTGCAGCGGCGCCTCATTCTTAATGGCAAATGCCAGCGCAATAATGCGCGCAGTTCCCCGAGCGAAGCTCTGGCGCTAACGGCCCGTCCAAACGGCGAGCGTGTTGTTGCTTTCAACTGAGACGCTTCCCATTGCGAGGCTTTTAAAATGGGGTGACGTCAGCTTGCCGACACTGCATTTGTGCGTCCGTCGCTTTGCCTCCGTTTGCTCGCTTCGGAAGTTAGAGAAAAGTTTCAACTTTCAAGCTCGACGAAGCGTCCAGCCAATCAAATCATATGGCATACAAGCGCTTAGCCAAATCAAGACCGCGTGCTTGTGTCTCCGGGGCAAGGAGAGTAAATGTGATTGGTTGTTGTCGTGAAGCAGCACGGCCCACCGGCAAGCTTTCAACGCACGCTGCGCATGTTGGATCGTACCGTCTACAGCTCCTTGACACACGCGGCCGTGCGTTGTCGCTGCCAACCAATTCACGATGATCTCCCGCCCCAGACACACAAGCACGGCGGTTTTGAATGGCTACGAGCTTGCACTGGCATATGATTCGAATTGGCTGACGCCTCCGTCGAGGCAAGCAAAAGTAGAACATTGCTCTACTTTTGCCAGCCGGAAGAGAAGCTACGCTTCGCCTCCCACAGATTGCAGTTCAGCAAATCGGTGAATCGTCACCCCATTCAAAGTGAGGGGGGAAGGCGGCGGGGGGCGGGGCCGGGTGGCGGCGGGGGCCGTTTCCGCTTGCTGTTTCCTCTTCTCTCTGGTTTTTAATATGTCTCTGTTCTGCTATATTTCTTTGGCTCATCTGTGAATGTAAATGAAAGAAAGTTTGATGGTGTCCTCAGTTTTATTGCTTTTAGTCTCTGAAGTATATGATGTTGTGGCAGCTCATCAAATAGAAACGCTCGTTGCCCCATGAACCGGTGTGGTTGTTAGGTAATAGTTTGCTCCTCTTGTTAGTAAGTCGTGAGTTGTAGTATATGATATTAATGTTTGGGTCTTAGGTTATCTACGATGGTGTCAACCTCCTCTCCTTGTTAGATGCGGTAATGTATATATTGTGTTGGTGGTCTCTTCTTTGTGTATCCTCCTCTCCTCTCTCTCTCTCTCTTTTGCTGGTGAATAATAGGGTGGGTTTTCTGAGGAGTGCGGGGGTGTGGTCTTTGGTTATTCTTGCTAGTGTTGTGGGGTTTGTTTGTGTTGGTAGTATTCAATTGTGTGTGTCTGTGTGATATAAGTTCATGTGATTGCCAGTGTGTGATTCCGCTCATAGTTCTTAATCTTCCAAATGTTTGTGTATATTCATTCCATCACTTTTTTTTAAATGATCTCTATAGATTTTAGTTTTTGTTAGTCGTCTTCTGAAGTTTTTGTATTACCTACATCAAGCTTCCACAAGTGCGTTCAAGATGACGCCGCATGCATCTTTCTAATGCATACATCCTATGGGGAACCTTTGATTCTTATCACCTGTGCTGCTGTCAGGAAATCATTTAGCTGTGGACCACACAGACTACATCACAAGTGACACCTTCTCAGGGAGAAGTTATTTTTACACAGCAAGATCTGAATACCTGTCGTGTGATGAATATAATAATATAATAATAGTAATAATACATTATTTTTTATAGGGCTTTTCAAGGACTCAAAATCGCTTTTACAAATTATAAGGGAAGGTTAGGGTGGGGGATAGGTATAGAACTATCAAAACTTGATCAACCGCGAATGGATTGAATGGTGGGGGGGGCGCTATGATGACAGAGCGAGACAAGAGCGGAGAAAGAGATGAGTTTTGAAAAGGGGACTGCGGAATACTGTGAGGGTCTCAGAATAGCGGAGATCTATGCATCAATAAGTTCAAAACGTTTTTTTTCAAAATGTAAAAAAAAATCTTAACCAAAATGAGAAAAATGGCATAAAAACATATTATTCTAATACGGGTCCTTTTAGACCCACTTATGGAAGAGTGTAGGGTCCAGTCACTCGTGCATCTAAGGGTTAAACTATTATTTATCTAGGGCAGGGTTGCTGAACATGCATTGTTTACAGCAGCACTCTGCTTCCCATTCATAGCGCTACACACATCCTCCCATGAGAAGTGCTCTGTAGTGGCTGATCGCTGTACATATACATCGACAGGTTTTCGAGGAACTAAGAGATGATTTTCCATCAGTTTACCTCTTAGACTTCCATTTTAGATTTTCACTTTTGTTAGTTGCAATCTGGATGCTAATTTACAATCTAGTTTATGTGCAAAAACCCATCAATAGTGTGGTGGCCTACATTTTTGTAAGGCATGTTTGTCATGTACGTTTTCTCAATGTACATTTAATCAACATCTGCCACTTTTGAATAAGCCAACTGGTAGAATCAGAGTCATTGCTGAGAGAAGCCAACTTGGCATAAGGGCGTAAATCATCCAAATTACACGCTGAAGACAGGATGTCTTTCCTAATTATGGAGACGGATAGAGAAAGGATTTCAATGTGTAGAGGGGAGATGTGTATGACTGAAAGTCTATCCACCATGCCATTTTAGTTTCCGCTCAGCACATGAGGCTTAATGTAAAAATGTAAAGTGGGATCAGAAACTTTCAACTGTCCATATTTGAACATTTCTAGGGGTCAGCTACAGTAAGTTGAACACAGTGGGGAAAAAAGGCAATATAACGCGTATAAAATCACTATAATGTTATAACAGAAAACACTCTAATCAAGGGACAGCTTTTGTTTTTTCATCTTGATGTTAAACCGATTTCTGTCATAATACATAGGTAAAGTGTCAACCGGTAATAGTCCCAAACCCGCTCTGATTAATGAGGCCTTACCTGAGCTCCATTATACTTGTGACATTTCCCGATGGGTAGATGCGTCGGATGTAGTTGAAGTCTCCGACGTACAGACTTCCATCGATGCCCCACGCCAGAGCCACGGGCGCCAGCAGCTTGTTGCCCATGGCCTGTCCGTTACAGCTGGGGCACGAGATGCTCCGGCGCCGCCCGTTCCCCATGACGGTGGAAATCACCGGGGGCTGGAGCGAGATGAACTGATTCTCCCCGCTGCCTTTGTAAAGGATACCTGTGAAACAAAGCCAGTGATTTGCAGGTTGAGTGGAAGCATGTCGATGTTTGACACTGGTAGCAACTTGTTTTCAAGACACACCTGGCAACAATATAAGAAGAAATACACACATTCTGTCAGGATTCTCATGTTATGTCACGGTTGTAGTTTTGTATGTCTGGTTATGGGTGTTTTCCTCCTTGTAAATTGTCTGGTCCTTCTTCCTGTGTCTTTCCTCTTGTCATTAGTTCCCTGGTGTGTCTAGTTGTCTGATTGTGTTCACCTGTTGCCCTTGTGTTTCTCCTCCCCTGCCCGGCTGTTTCTCGTCTCGTGATTACCCCTCCCTGTATTTAGTCTTGTCTCTTCCTGTGTTCAGCGTGGGTTCGTCTTTTGTTGGTGACTGAGTTCACCGGGGAGTGTTCTGTTTGTCCGAGTTATTTTTATATATCCTTGAAATAAAGGCATTTTCAG